GAGTAGAGAACCTTTCCCAATGCACTGTATGAAAGTGTTCCCTGACACCACAGCTAGACAAAGACATTTCCAGAAAGGAAAATTACAGACCAATATGAAATAGGTAAAAAGTATCAAGGAAGTACTATCAAAATTAACTAGTAACATATAAAAAGGATTATACACTAGGAGCAAAACGATTTATCCTTGCAATGTAAGTTTGGTTAAACATACAAAAACAACTGGTGTTATAAACTATAGTAATAGAATTTTTAAAAAGACTCATGGTCACCTCTAAAGATGCAGAATAGGTATTTGACAAATTCCAAACCCATTCATGATAAAAGCTCTGGGAAAGTTAGGCATAGAAGAAAACTTGCTAAGAGCATCCACGGAAAACTCACATAACGTAAGGAAAGACATACAAGCCAATGAATAGTTGAGCACGCCAAAATCCATCTTTATATTAGGGCAAACTTATTTTCAAGGTTGAAAATTTGATTCAAGAGGAAAAAATAGTTTCTCAAAAATGTGCTGGGAGAAAGGGATATCCACATGGAAGTTTAACTCTTTCCTGTACCATATATGTATTTGACTCAAAATAGAATACGTGGCTAACTGTAAGAGCTAAAACTAAAAATCCCACAGAAGAGAACACAGGAATAGGTTTTCATGGCCTTATGTGAAACAATGGATTCTAACATGTGACACAAAAGTGCAAGTGACAGAAAAAAAAAAAAATAGATGCATTGAACTTCACGTGGATCAATACCTTTTAAGATGCAAAGTGTACCATCAAGACAACTGAAATAATGGAAGAAGATATTCCCAAGTCATATAACTGTTAGGAGACTATTACCCAGAATATAAGAAACGTTCAGGTGTGCACCACCACACCCGGCTAATTTTTGTATTTTTAGTAGAGATGGGGTTTCATCATGTTAGTTAGGCTGGGCTCAAACTCCTGGCCTCAAGTGATCCACCCACCTCAGCTTCCCAAATTGCTGGGATTATAGGCATGAGCCACCGTGCTCAGCCTCATTCTTCTTTATTATTTTCTAAATTTGTATTTCTAAATAATATATTGTTCAGGATTTTTGTCTTCAACATTAGATAAATATGTGAATAAATTAATGTTTAATCTTAGTCAAATGATGAAAAAATATAACAAATCCATATTGTGATACATCCTATGGAACACCTGACAAGTTCTTTTCACTAGGATCAAGGTCAAAAAAATAAGTGAGGACCCAGAAACTGATACAGATTAGACAGGACCTGATGTGGCAGGTAGGTTCTAAGATGCTTCCCAATGATCCACACCTCTAGATATGCAAAACTCTATGCTAATACCCTCACTGTGAGGTTAAGACATGCCATACCACATGTATACACAACACAAAAGGGCAAAGTGTATGGAACAATGGTTTGTAAGAGAGACTATATCAACAGGGAAGGACAGTGATACTGAGACATACCATGCTGTGACATGAGCTCTACCATTGCCTCAAGACACTGCTTTGGGAGATTTTCCAGGCTGTGGTGTGGCATGGACTTTGGAAGACACTGTGAGTTGAGAAGATGGAACTGAGAGTCGAGTACAGATTGGCTGGATCGCATCTAGAATTTCTTCACATCCGGTGGTAAGAATGGGAGACAGCATGGCTGCCATTGTCATCATTACTCACTGAAATACGGTTCACAGAAGTACAGGAGCAACGCAGAAACAAAGGCAGAGACACAAAGAAAAGTTACTTGAATGAAGACTTAATATTGCACAAAGACTGACGCCTTTACATGTTGTACAAAACCAAGGCTTAAAAAATAACCATTTGAGATAAAGTAAATGATGTGTCTAAGTCGAATGAACCAACCAAGTGGACACAAACCTTCCTTTACTATACCATTTTCATACATGTGCCTGATGAACTCACTATATTATAAAATAATGAAAGGAGAGCTTTCTATTTATAAGAGCAGAACACAATTGTCAGAAAAAGAAGGATTAAAAATATTTTTACCTCTATTTGTTTCCCTATAAAACCTTAAGTTTCCTTTAAATTTGGAAAATAATTTGTCACTTTCTTCACTACATAAATTCCACTGCCATTCTAGTTTGCATGGAGTATAGGGTTGCTATTTTTATGCACTGAAGTTCATTTAAATTAAGTTATTGATATGCAGTGAAATTAATTTAAATTAAGTTGCTATTTATATGCAGTGAAACTAAGTTAAGTTAAATTGCCAGGCTGCAATATAATAGATGAGGGGTTGTTATTCTTGTTGTTATTTTAACCAAGATCTGTCACTGAAATTCTGTGTGTACAGTATTGAAGCCAAGAGACCCTGAAAGCCACTCACTGGAAAATCAAATGCCCATCTACTGATTTGGAGTACTTGTAAAACATCAGTGTTCACGCTCTCTTGGTTGCTCACATCTCATAAATCTTAGACGAATGTCCCCTATGTCCCCAGAATAATTTTAGAGCACTATATTATTGCCTTACTTGTACAGTAAACATATGTTATTGAGTTTCAGCAACTCATTCTGTCTGAATGCTTCACTCACAAGAGGATGTGTTGTCAACATAGTCATGTTGGCATTAAGGCACTCCTCACTGCAAGCTCTGATAAATTCTGGTCTGTTTGTTGGAGTCCTGTTAAATAATATCTGAAAATGGGGCTTTTTGAGACACGTGAGTCACAGGCATCTGTCTTTGAAAAAGTGGTTACTGATGCTAAAACTGGTGACTGAAAAATGCAGAATATGATGAAGAAGATGAAAGAGGACGAGTCTCTGGAACTTGGGGAGAATCTTCCTGAAGCAGGTGTACCTGTGTTCGAGTTGGTAAATCGATATGGAATTATTTTGCTATTCTCTCTTTACATGTCCTTTCATCTCCTGAGCTGAAGGTATTCTGTTTGTGCTTTGGAATTCTTTTAATATCACATTTAATATTTTTTTCAAAAATACTTTTCTCTGAAATAATTTAAATACACAGAAATATGCACAGAATGCTTTATATATCCTTGAGTTACATGCAATGATGAGCCCTAAAAAATAGTTGGCACAAAACTGTTTATTGAAGTATAGGCTTTTTCCATATTTTACTGGGTTTTTAAGTAATGTCATTTTTTCTGCCCAGGATACCACATTGCATTTACTGTCAGGCGTATTATTTATTGCTGCAAAATAAATTCTCACATACTAAGTGGCTCTCACTCACAGTTTCTCTGTATCATGAATCCAGATGCAGATGATGGCCAAGGACAAGGTCTCAAGCGAAGAAGGTTCAGCTGGGGAAGGATCCCCTTCCAAATTCATGTGATTGTTGTTAGGAGTGAAGGCCCTGTGCTTGTTGAGATGACTTCACTGGTGAACTATTCCAAACCTGAAAATAATTAATAACAATCTATCACAAACTCTTCATAAAAACGTAAACAACAGTACAAGCAGAGATCACTTCCTGATGTATACTATTAGTTACTTTATACTGATATTACAACAAAAGCAAGACATTTTAAGGAAGAAAAATTAAGATCAATATGTTTTATAAATAAAGCAACGGTCTTCAATAAGATGCTAGCAATACAAATCAGCAAATGGAAAAAGAATTACACACCATCACCAAGAGTATTTGTCTCAGGAATGCAAATTTGGTTCAACTTACAAAATAATTAGTGTCATGCCCTCTAAGAATAAAATAAAAAACAAAAGCCATATGATCATCTCAAAAGATGCAGCAAAGGCACCTGATAAATCCAAAATCCATTTTTGATAACAATATACAACAAATTAAGCCTATAGGAAAGTTTCTTTATCTTAAAGGGCATCCATGAAAAACTCAGTATCATCATAATTTAATTTAAAGGCTCAAAAATAGTATAAACATGGACATACAGATCAAAGAAATATAGTAGAATTGAACATCCAAAATTAATCTTTACCTTTAGAGTCAAATGATTTTGTAAGGTTGCCAAGCCAATTCAATACGGAAAAATACATTTGTAACAAATGCTGCTAAGACAATTGAATATCCACAAGCAAGTTGACTTCTCACTCACACCATATACATAATTAGCTCAAAATAATCATATATCCAAATGTAAGCTCTAAATAGACCAAACCCATAGTAGATAATATATAAATATGTAATTTGGGTCTAAAGTTAAACAATAACTCCTATAATTTCTAAGATATGATACTTAAAGCCCAACAAAAATAAATAAACATGAATATATTTAACTTTATAAGAATTAAAATCTTCTGGGATTCAAAGTACATCATTAAAAGTAAAAAGATAATGCAAAGAATAGAAGAAAATATTCACAATCATATAGAAGGAAAGGATCTATTATCCATAACATACAAAATATTTTACAACTCAAAATAAAAAGGCAAGTATCACAATCAATGGTAAACTATCTGAATAGACATGTATCCAGAGATACTATATTCATGTCTAGTAAGCACATGATATGGGGCCTAAGTCTTTTGTCATTAAGAAAATGCAACTCTAAGCAACCATGAGATACACTTCACAAATCTAAAGGGTATATTGCGAAAAAAAGTAAATTTAAAAAGGCAAAATACTTTGTGAGATTTTGGTGATGTGACACTCTGGAATGTGAAAAAGCATAGAGATAATAAAATGGTATTTACTAGGAGCTTGGAAGAGAGGCAGGTCAAACTGGTGAGGTACAGCAGATTCGCTCTGGGCAGTGAAATTATCTGGTATCATACAGTAACGATAAATACATTATTGTATTTTACAAATCCTAAATAACTTTATAATACAAAAAGTGAACTTACAATATACAAATTAAACACCTTATACAGCAGGTAGCAGATAGCACGGGGCTATACACATAAAAGAATTAAATAACACATCAGTGAAATCACCTCACTGAATGGAGGGGGGAAAAGCAGCTGACCCAAGTAACGTAGCAAGTCAGTGGATATTCTGAGTCTAAAGGGTAAAGATTTATCCATAAAATCTTCAGTTGGTAAAGTTCTTTCTCACGGCCATGTACATTTCTAATTCTGAATATGCTTATACAAGTCTTTGGATTATGTGATTAAATAACAGAACCATCTTTATCATTGTTAGCGTGGTAGGCTACACACAAGTAAGCGGGAATAGGGTGCTGATTCATGTGGTACTGGATTAGATCATGGGGTGCTGGAGCGTTATGAGGAAGGAATTCATGTTTAACTTAAAGATACAGATACATGATAAAACATTTGTGTGCGTGTGTGTGTGTGTGTGTGTGTGTGTGTGAATCAGTATACATAGATGTATCTGCTCTGCACACAAGGTCATGAATCAACAGATGCCCCAGGAGCAATGAATATGCCAAGGGCCCGATCTCCATTTCTAATTCAATTTTCCAATAAAATAACTAGGGCTCTGTAAAAAAAAAATGGTTAATACCAGGCTTGTGAGGAAATCCACACAATTAGCATAAGCACCTAGTAGTGCCAGAAAAAGTAAAATGCCAAACAGTGCAAGCAACTAACCAACCACATAACAACAGCAAAGCTCAGTTATGGTGGTGTTTCAAAACGACAGATGATCCAACTGAAAGAACTTCCAATAGTCAACATTGCAACAATTTAAACAAATAAATGAAGTAGTAGAAGTAAAGAGTAAAATAAATATCCATGTTTGCATACTGACATAAAAATGATTGCATAAATATAACGATTATTGGAGAAGAATAGATATGTCCAGGATGAATGTTCCAGATAACTTTTGGTAGACCTCTGCTCATAAAGAAGAGCATTTCTTTTGTTTTGTTTTTTGTTTTTCAAGATGGCAGATTGGAGCATTGTTAGTGTGCCTCACCTGCTTAGAAAGAGCAAAATAGTGTCTAGAGATTCACACTGTGAATTTGTATCCAACAAACACAGGAACTCAACAGAAAAAGTGAAAGAACCTCTGGATACTTTGAAAGGAGCAGGAGGCAGCAACTTGCACTACGTGTCAGATGGGCAACTGAGCCTTGAGAGTGCAAAAGGGGGAGACTCTCTCTGTGATACATTCCCACTAGGGAACCAGGCAATCCAGGTCACAGGGAAGCGCCTGAACCCTGCCCAGCGATGGAGCTGACTTAACAGAGGTGGGGAGCATGAAAGTAAGAGTGGCACCTGGATGTGCTGCGTGTGCACTCCCAGACCCCAGCAGCAACAGAAGGAAGATATTCTTGACCCTAATTCATAGAATATCTTGAAGAAATCAGCGAAGTAACCCAGGCAGTAGGCATGCACTGGAAGAAGCCCCCAACTGAGGAAGAAGCTGACCAACTAAGATTTGTATTTGATCTAGTATTGAGCAGAGGATGAACCCCCGAAGGCCCGAACCAAGGGGCATCAAGGAAGCATTCTTGTGCCAGGGTCATGGGACCTGGGTACTGCTGTTTCACATGTCAAATCAAGGGGTGTGGCCTCAGAGCTACTGTTCCAGTTTCAGTCTCCAGTGGGAAGTCTTGTGGCCTGGGGCAGGTTTGTGTTTGAGCCTAGACTGCCTGGGACTTAGCTGGCTTGTGGGTTTTTGCCAGCAGAAGTCTGCATGTGTAAGACCTTCTGTGTCAAGGTCATGGGAACTGACCTGCCACTTTCTACCCCTCTCTCCATGTACAGACTCTCATGGAGCAGAGGCGTTCTCCTCCCTGGAACATTATCCCAGCGGTCAGGGAACTGTCCACACCACCATTGCAGCTTCTGCTTACACCCACACTGGAGAGGAAGAGTATGGACTTTCCTGACCCAGCCCACACCTGGCTTTGCCCCTCTACCTGTCCTAGTAGCAGAACTGGAACAGGGACTTTTTAGACTTCCATGTCACTTCCCATCAGCTGAATACTTCCCCTGGGTAACAAAGGCTAAGCATAAATCCCAGCACCATGACAGCTGGCTCTCTCCTGCAAGTGCCACCTTCCGGCCCAAGGTCAACCAACACAGTCCGTTATAACATCTGCTGGCACACTAACATGGTACTGGAATAAATGTAGACATACAGACCAGGAACAGAATAGAGACCCCAGAAATGAAGGCAAATACTTACGATTAACTGATTTTCAACAAAGCAGACAAAAACATATACTGAGGAATGAACATCCTATTCAATAAAAGGTGCTAGGAAAATAAGACGGCCACACGCCAAAGAATGAAATTGGATCCTTATCTGTCACCATATATAAAAATTAACTCAAGATGCATTAAGACTTAAATGTGAGACATGAAACCATAAAGATTCTAGAAGTAAAACTAGGAAAAAATCTTCTGGACATTGGCCTAGGCAAAGAATATTTGACTAAGACCCCAAAAGCAACTGTAACATAAACAAAAATAAATAAATGGGACTTAGCTAAACTGAAAAGCAGAGCAAAAGAAATAATCGACAGAGTAAAGAAACAACCTACAGAATGGGAGAAAATATTTGGAAACTGTCCATCCAACAAAGGACTAACCCAGAATCTACAAGAAACACAAATCAGCAAGAAAAAAATAAATAATCCTATTAAAAAGTGGGGGATGACATGAACAGGGAAAAGATATACAAACGGCCAGCAAACATATGAAAAAAAAAATGCTCAACATCACTAGTTATCAGGGAATGCAAATTAAAACCATAATGCGATACCAACCTTAGCCTAGTCAGAAGGACCATTATGAAAAAGTCAATAAATGATTGATATTGGTGTGGATGAGGTGAAAAGGGAATGCTTATACACCCTTGGCAGGAATGTAAATTCGTACACCTGTATGGTAAACAGCATGGAGATTTCTCAATGAGCTTTTAAAAGCAGAGCTACCATTCAATCTAGCATCCCACCACTGGTACGGGCCCAAATGAAAAGAAGTCATTCTATCAGGCGCCACCTCCAGTCTTCCTGGACCCAGCAATTCAGGGGTTTCAGGTTTGGGACAAGTGCAGGGTTCTCCATAAAGGCAGCGTTGGTGGTGGACCCGACCCCTTGCAGCCCCACACGGAGGGAGTGGAGGGGCGCGTTCTGCAGCCTGCTGCACAGGATAAAAGGTAGATTCCACTTGGTGAGTGGAAGGTGCATGTGGCAGCTCTGCTGGGGCTGCGGGATTCAGGGAGAGTGGCTGGCTGCCTGGTGCACAAGTGTCTGCGGAGCACATGCTCAGAAGGCCGGGGCAGAGAGGCAAAGGTGCTGGTCGCAGAAACTTTGGTTCAGGGGCTCAACACGCCCGCCAGGGATGTGGCCCATCACTGACCTTTGGAAGCACTTTGTGCTCCTCACTCGCTTCCTGTTACAAATCGTGGCAACATATTTCAGAGGACTTGGGGGAAAATCGCCCTCTTGGCACCATCAGGTCCATTCTCAGTGGCATCCAGGGAAGCCTGTCTCTGGTGTCACTGTG